TGTGCCCAGTGATGTAAAAGAGTGTTACAAAATCCTGGAAATAAACTATTACGATTTTGAATTTCTCGTAATAAAATAATGCAATGTGCCATCTTTCATGAAATGAATACACTGGAGAATTCAAATAAGTAAGTTAGGAAGCAGAGACTCCCTGATCTTGCAAGAGAATACAATCAAGAATACAGAAGGAAAAGTCAAGTGAAAGTAAATTCCTTAGATTTATTTTGTAAAGTACACTGTATCCTTATACTTCAAGGACTTTCTTGCAAAAATTTTCTTTGATAGTAATATTTGGCACACAGCCAAGATATTTAGTGTTTACATTTGGAAGATTGTTTAGCATCAAAAAAGAAGAATCCTCAGTTATACTTTTCATGTAGAATAACATTCTCTCATTTCTGAGCACAGGAAGCAAAAAAAAAAAATTCCTTGGTAATCTGATTTCACATTTTTCATCCTTAATGTAAAATGCATTCATTCTCTTGAGAGTGCTAGATTGTTTAAATAAGGGATCCAAACCAGTATAATTACATAGATGTTATTTGTAATGTTGACACTACATTCACAGTTCAAACGGTTCAGGGGATTATAGATATATGGCCTATAAAGAGTTATAAATCTTTGTTTATTGTATTAAATATTAGGAGACGTGCCCTGAGGATAACAGATCAATAATGATTCTGCGGTTTCCTGATGGAAGGCTGCAATTATTTTCTTCTATTACAACTTAAATGTAACTCAAATTTATTCATCTATCATCTTTATAATAGTAATAAAGGAATGTATGTTTATTTTTCTACCTACTCATATTATTCCTCATTGGCATCTTGTTTTGATTTTTGTTCTCATTGAAAATTGTTCTAATCATTTTGGTTTCTTCCTCTGGTGACTCTAACAGTGACCCTTTAACTTTGGCACTGTGAAACGGAGATGGAAAATTACTACCTTCAGCTTCCTCTATTTTGGGAAGCTGTTGGCTACTATTTGAGTTTGAGTTTAAATGATATTTAAAAACAAGGAAGCTTGATACAAACAACCTATAAGGTTGAATTTTTCTAAAGGTGCATTGCCTGAAAATTCTTACTACAAAGTATGACTTGCAGTACATAAACATAATATAGTTGGAATGTTAACTCAGGAAAAAATAGCAGAACTTAACACCTTCTATCAGACTACAGTACAATTTTGATTCAATTGTCTTTCTATCTTCTGTACCCTTAAATCACCACCAATCCTTACCTCATTATTTAAAAAATATAATAAATCTTAAAAGTTGTTAATAAATTAAGCTTCGTGGAAGGAGGTCCCTTGTAATAGGTAGAGAGGAAAGCAAAAGACCCATGTAAGACATAGAACCAGAATATGCCCCTTCCAGGAAAGAATCCAATCATTTGAATTTATCACTCTTTAAACAAGCAGGCTTTATGATAGTAGCTGATATTTATTATATGTCCTTTTTATAGCTCTTACTGCACTTGTACATAGTTCAGTATGAAGGCAGCTGAGTTCTGAAAGTGTAAGCAGTGCTCTCATGCTACTCCAGGTAGAAGTGGTAGAGAACAGACTTACACCCAGATCCCTGACTTCAGTCTCCTTTAATTAGACCACATCGATTCCCAAATAGCTTAATTTGTGATCATCTTTCTGTGCTGGGTACTTTATATATATTATCCTAAATTTTCACAAAACTCTCTGAAATTGTTATCTGCTTGTTATACATGAGACCTTGTCTCTAAGAAGTTGAGTAATGTTGCAAAATTCAGAAAGCTGGAATGTGCAAAGCCAGAACTGACATCGCCGTGTCTGGCACCAAATGTTATGCTTGCTTTTCCCTTTCAATTGATCTATCCTCAGTCATTAAGATGAACAGAATGTTTGTGAAAATGTTTGCTACAATTTTTTTCTCATTATTCCAATGCTTCTGCAGAGAGAAACACTTTGATAATAGGACTGTAAGGAAAACACTGTATTAATTGTATTTCATTTCAACAATTCTTTTTCATTTCAAATTAAATTTGAAATCTCCCCAAAAGGTAACACTCCATCACTCTCAGAAAATAGCATTATAACTCAGGAAACAAAATCTGTGCTGATTTGGAAAGTTTAAAAAAATTCTCCAAGTTGGTATTGATTCTCATTTTGTAGAAGATTGCGTCTATGTGTTCTTTTTCTTTCCCTAGACATGTTAAGAATTCCTTATATATGGATGTTGGATATTCAAGCTAATTTTAAGCAAATGAACTGAATTTTTCTTCCCAAATTTTGTTTTTCACAAGATCTACATAGTATGGAGCTACTGTAGCAATTATTCTATTTGAACAATAAAGTACTGTGTAGGAATATACATTAGTCTAAAACATTTGAATCAATATTAATTAGAATGTTCACTGATGAATGGGTGAAAAAGATAATAAAAATATTAAAGACACTAATTGTTGCGGGTGTGTAATCTTGTAGTTTTCAGTGTTGGAAGTCACTGTAAATAAACCTTTTAAGAGTAACTTTCAAAAGTAACATTCTTGATTTACATTGTGAAAATCGAGAACATATTTTTGCAGGATGACTAATATAGTTAATAGCACTCGCATTCTGGGAATAGGAACCTAGTGTTTGGGATAAATTTCCAGAAACAACATCATGCGTGGAGACGAAGTTCTCAAGTGCTGCTAATTTGTGGCTGAAGGTGATGTGTTCTGGGAATTATCAGGTGACTCAAAAGAGTGCTTCATGATGTCATGAATATGAGAAGATGCACACAAGGAGTTTATATAGACATATTCATGAAATGAGATGGTAGAAAAAGCAAGATCCTATGTGGTCATTAATAAAGTCAGGCCTGAAATACCTGCTGGTCCCCTCGAATATAAAAGACGTTCTTTTCTGGTACTTTTCACTGCCTGATCCTGGTGTAAAAACCCATTTTGCACATGGCAGGAAGATCAAAGCCCTTCTTACGGATATTCTTATACTGAGATAGGTAAGTGCTTACTTGCAAATGTACTCCACAGCATTCTTAAGCTTGTCCATGGAGCACACAAGAGTTCCTCCAAACATGAATTAGAGATGTTACTAATAAAATTACGGTCTGTGTCTAGTAACCAAACTTCATGCCAAAATAAAAACTCAGTTCCAAAAATTATTAGAAGGGTCATCTGATATCTAAGTAAGTTAATCTGCCAAGATAAAATGCAATTACCTTATTGCTTAGAGACTTTCTAAACTGGTTCAATCTTGTAAATCATTTTGTTTTTGTGTGATGAATGGCTCTTGTTGCCTTCATTTTAAGATACAGCTGGAAAAATTATTATACACTGGTTATAGGACCACTGAGGTCTTTCTGTGGACTGGGTATACAAAAGATAGGAGGCGGGGGGGGGGAGAGAGAAAGACATGTATAGTCTTGGTCTCAGAAAAACTGTGACCTTTCGGATCCAAAGAAATAAATAGGCAAATAAATAAAGGAGGTTTGAAGGTATTTGTCTTCATGGAATTTGGCCAGTGTAAAAGTTGGCTTCCCTTGTTAGAAGACTCTGCTGGCAAGTTCCATCTTGTTTCCCACAAGAATTTTTGCAATTCAAGTGATAATGGTTTCAGGTGTGGTCAGTGCATTTTGGGCATTTTTCCTGGGTGATAAAACTGGCCTGAATTTCACTGCATATCTCACTGTTCCTGTTGGAACACTAAAAATGTCAAAAGGTAGGATAAAGTTCAGATAGAGTTTGAGAATTTCTAGACTTGGCAAGTACTTTTATATCTGGGACTGAAATGCAAAAAATAAAATAATGAGATAACAAGCCCATGCCCTATGAACTCAAGACTTTTTAATCATTAACAATAACAACAAACATTTTTAATAGCAGAATCATGTTCTCTAGAAGCCCCGGGAAACCCCTAACAGGCTCCAAAGAAACCTTGTGTTTCCAAAGCAGATTACTGAATACAGGAAAAGGGTTTTCTTAGAAATGCCATTACTATTATTACACTTTTATTTCCTAATCCCAGGTTTCTAAAATCCCTGGTTTCCTTTCACTCTTTCGTATTTTCTAATAGGAAATCCATTCTTTATTACAGATTATATAGGTATATTAAATGCAGAGAAAATAAGCCTTAATTGGGGTATGTGTGTATGAATGTGTTGAATGGTCCTAAACTTTGAAGGGGAAAGGAAGAAAATTTTGTCTTTAGTTCACCAAAACATGAACTGACTTTCTTAGATGTACTTTCCTAAACTTTATTTAAAAAAGCTAAACAGAGACAATTTCCATCTAGGGAAGTATTCCACATACTGTAACAAGTCAACCAACCAAGTGCTTCTGAATTTATATGTTTTTGGTATCCTTTAGCACAATTATATGCTTTCTCTAATCAAGGATATTTAATATTCTTTCCGCTTAGTTATAACCTTTCATTCTTAGATTTGAAACTGCTATGGCAAATGAGACATACACACACAAAGTTAAACTGTCTTTAAAGAGCTCTATTTTTTGCTTGGTCATGATTGATAGTGGTCATTATGTTGGGAGGTATATTCGGTTCTACACATGCAAATCTGATCCACTTTACAAAGGCCATGGCCACAATGGACTCGCAGACTAATGTTCCCCCTCCTGCACTCAGTGACCAAAAGATCAGCAGGAAAAATCCTCTGGGTACAGATGACAGCTTTTACTATATTTAAATCAAAGCACAAAGAACTTCCCTATCATTTCCTTTAAAAGTATCATTTCATGCAAGTAAAAATAATCATCAATAAAAAAGTGTTAGAGACATGCAAAGCCAAATTGTAAAAATAGTTTTTTCTTTTAGTTACTTTAACTTCTTAAGATATTTCAAGCATAAATGAATATTTAACTTATTTTTTTCTGGGAAGAACCTGAAGATATTCTGAATAAAGACCATTTATCATGCACACAAAAGCCCTTGCTAGCTAGCCTTTCTAAACTCATTCTTATCCTACTTTGTACCTCAGAGTTTGTAAGTGAAAAACCTATGTGACTTACCCTATTAAAGCAGTGCTCGTGATTTGGCCCATAGAAATGCTGCAGACATTTCACATTGTTTTTGTTGACGATCTTATTGAAGAATTCATTGACATATTTGATAGGGAATGCACAGACAGCAGATCGATTCATTGGTTCAGCAGAATCTGGCTTGCTTTGTGCAAACACCCCATATAAAATGTCATCATTCAGACCCACTCGGATTTGCTTAGCGAGATGGGCCCCGGCTGTACCAACATATGCAGCCTGAAGGATGTTAAACACTTCCTGCCCTGTGGATCTTTTTCTTCTTTTTTCCGTAAGAATACACTCCAGAGGCATTTCCATGTACGAGTGCAGTCCAGAGTCTGCAGAACAGAACCTGATGATTCTTGTGTGAAAAGTCTGAGCATCCAGAGTTTCCTTTTGGACAGTTAGAAAGTAAATGAAATGGCTGCTTTCAAAGGCATGGACGTACTTAATGGGGTAAGAATCTCGGAACTCAGGTAAAACATCAATATAGGACTGGTCTGTCAAAAACTTAAAACCATCTAGTGTTTCTTTTAGCCTTCTCACTGATATTGAATGCAATGAGTGATCTGGCAGGTAAGAAGAATTTATGGTATTGCCCACAAAGAAGTTGATGAACCGACTCTTTTCAGACAGAAGGACTTTGGTTCCCAGAGCGCTCACCACACAGTCAGGACACTGGCCGGACTCTTCATCTGCCTGTGAGAACATGCAATATACTTTTGCCTGTATGTCAGCAGTATTACTGAGTGGAAGGACGTGTCGCTGGCAGGTCCCTCTGTTGACACTGCCACAACTAATGAGCTGGTCATCATAGTACGTGTCAATAAGCATAGCCATGTTGATGTTATCTTTCCAAATGGCTCCTGATAAATTGGCTTTACTGCTGCAGTCCTGACATGGAAGACAATCCGGATGCTCCAGCACAGGTCCAGTCTTATACTCAGCTACCTTCTGAAGGTCTTTGTCATTTAAAACATAAAGGTAGTTGGTGGCCCCCAGGTAAATGTGGTGCCTGTGTAGAGCAACGTGCTGGATGGGTGTTTCTGCAGTGAAGTTGGGAAGCTGATACTGCATGTTCATGTTCATCTCAGACTTCACTAGTGCCTCCGCACATTCCCCATCGCTCCTCTGCACCAAGGTAAACAGCAGCACCAGGACGCCAGGTGCAAGCGCAGTGGGGGCCTTCATTGTGAGCAGCTGATCTGCCAAAACATGTTCAAGGCAAGAGCAGGTCAGTCACAATCAGAAACAAACAAGAAAAACCAAAAGAACTATCCCAGTTAAATATCAGAAAGAATGCCTCCTAACTGGAATTTTTACATAAAATGAAACAAAAAACTCTAGTTGGTAGCACATAAAGATGCATTGTGTGGTTGGACATGACTCCACATGTTATATTTTTAGAAGTCAAGCTATGAACAATTTTAGGGAACTATTATGAGATGCAAAACAATGTTCTGTATTAAGGTCCATATAGCAACTGAGACTCATTCAGCAATGAAATAAGAAACAGCACAGTTCTGTATTAACCCCTTGCTGGTTGTTTCATGTGGTTTCATATCTGTGGCTAATGATGAGGTTGATATTTCAACTTCCTTAGTCAAGTAAAGGAACTGTGGTTCAGATTCATTTATTCTAAAATTCACAGCAGGCATTGTTTCCTTGGGAGCATGTAGAATTACTAGGCTAAATTTAGCTTTCTTTTGGAAGAAAACAATCATAAATTGTAGAGGCAATATGATCACATGCTGTTTATAAGATTTTGTGTGCAGAGGAAAGGTATGGTTATAATTTGGCTATAGTTAACCTATTGTTTCAGGCAGACAAATGTTTAATGTAATAACACTGGACTTGAAAGTAGCCGGCTGACAAAAGTATAAAATAAAGTATGATCTTTAGAACTACAGACCTAACACTATGTCTTAGGGGAAAATGACATATTGTTCATTACCAAGTCAAAAAACTATTTAGTAAAAAGAACATTATTTCCATTGTAAGCACATGGACAATGTTTCCCAGGAAGCATGCTTGGGTTTGTTATTCCTTTTTTTAAAAAAAAAAACGTAAGGGTCACAAGTTCTAAATATGTGAGTTTTACTTTTAATAGCTATAGGCAGGACAGTATGTTGGAAAAGAGAGGACTTAAAATAAAAGCAACTATAGGTGTCATCTTTTAAAAAGAGCATCATTCTGATAGCACAAAGGGAGACCCTACAAGTGTCATAGGCCTTATATGTCTACCAAAGACAAACATGGGGGTCCACAAAGCCACAAAAAATTGTCTGAGCAACTATTAGGTGCATGGTTCTGTGCTTGTACTATGGGAAATGGGACAGGCCTCGTGCCCTTCAGTGAACCTGGAAAGTAGTTAAGCAGTAACTTACACACAATTGACAACCATACTGCAAGGCATGTAACATGAACCAAAAGCTACTAGCACAGGAAGAGAGAAATGGCTTGCATTTATGATAGTAAATATGAGAAACAGGGACAAGTTTGTTATGCTGTGAGATACAGGACAGCAAGGACAATGTATGACTTATCACTGAACCCCAACTACCTGCTATGAAGTCTGGAACACAGCTGGTGTTAAACAAATATATACTACAAGGGAAAATAAAAGGTAAGCAGTAAGCTCGAAATCGAGTAACAGGTTGCTGCTGGTAGCCAAATTTTTAAAATATCTTTCTGACTCCAAAATCAAACATGCTTATATACTATGTAAGTTCTAAGAACTGAGGGCTTAAAGATATTAGAAAGTAACCGAGTGGGTCTGAACTTCCTATCACCAAGGTGTGAGTCAAAGAAGAGAAAGTGGACTTCCAGCAGGGGAGAACTTGGTAATGAGCAGATCAGCTGATCAACTGTTACTACAGTCTATAATGAATAAGGGCTGAAGCAAGGCTGTGACCCCAAGAATAGAAAGAAGAGAGGCACATCTAAGATTTGATCCCACATTGGGAAGAAGATAAAAGAAAAGACCAAGGTGTCTGACAGTCATCTGGGCATAAGTGGAACAAGTTACAAAACCAGGGTTGCCAGCACCAGGAAGAAAGGCTGAAGACACTGGTTTTAAACATAATGAGTTAATGGGAATGAGTGAATGTTCTACAGAAGGCATGACGAGCAGGTTTCACACTATTTACCAGGAAGCAAGCATCTGGAATACATGAAGATAAAATTCTGAGCAGAAAGAACATATGTGGCAAGGAATAGAGATGAATCATGAGAAGCATTCAAGAGAAGCTGTCCTTACTGGAAAGTGGCATGAGTAATCTTAGGTGACACAGCTGTTTTGGGAGACAGTGGCAGGTGCAAGCACTAGCGCCAGGTCACTGTCACTGCTAAACCAGAAGTGAAAATTGAATTTTGAAGAAATTTGGGCTCAGGCTGGAACAGAAATAAACTCTGCATATATCTGCTGGGAAGTGATGGTTAAAACCTGAGTGGGTATGTTCACAGAGAGATTAGGTAAAAGAAATGACAGCGAATGAACTAAACTTTGGGGAAAATTTTCTCATGTTAGTAATAAGTGTCAAGGAAGATTAAGGTCACAGAGACACTGAAAGCTAATATGCACAGTGTCACAGAAGCCAGACAAGCATTTCAAGGAAGAGAATGCAGTTTTTGTGAAAGCTCTTCACTGAACGTCGAAAGGATAGTTTTGCCAGATTTGGTGGTGCATGTGTCTTGTAATCCCAGTACTTCCATAAAGATAAACTTAAGTCATTTGTAGAAAAATGGATGCACCTTCAGACCATAATGTTAAGTAAATCAGACAACACAAGCTTCAATAATGCACAGTTTCTCTTATATGAGAACCCAAAGTATAAATATACAGCAAAATAATAGGAGCAGAGAGACAGATTTATTGTAAAAGGAAAGGAGACCAACAGACGAGGAGAGGGATAAAAAGGAATCAAGATGTGTTATGTTCATGTACCGACTCCCCACAAGGGATGTAGACATTATGTTCTGCAAACATGTACTAATAAAAAATTAATGAAAGATACAGGTATAGGAATGCAAATGAGGGGTAACCAGCGAGATTTGAAATTATGCTAGAGCTGAGTCTCTAAGAATGAGGCATGGAAACTAAGAACACTTTGACTGTTACAGGGCATAAATGGAAGGAGTTGTACTTACTGTTTTTATAAATAATTCTCATTGTTTGAAATGCACTAGAAAATTGCATATAGGGAGGAGAAACAGGGAATAGAAGAAAAGGATTAAAGACACATTGTTCCATCAGTCCAGAGCATATTATGTAAAGAAATTCTCAATGTGGTGACTACTGTTGGATTTTCAAAATTGAGAATATTAGCCAAACGAATAATTTATTACTGTATTTTCTCTAGAAAATATAATAAAAGAAGGTAAGAAAGGAACCATTGTTACCATTAGAAAAAAACAGTACACCCAGTTTACATTTTAGTGACGTCTTTTAATATGACACAGGATGTAAATGACCTTTGTCCTTTGTAGGCTTTTTGAAGAAGTCTTCAAAATGATCTTGTTAAAAAATTGAAAGCACTAAACTCTAAATTATGTTTCAAAAGTAAGTTTCATATGTTAAGGTTGAAGTCATTTATTGTACTAAATCTCAATTAGCTAGAACCTAAGAACCGTACAAATGAGCATTTTGTTATCTTGCCAGATGAGACAGCTATCCATAAGAACATCATAAGGGAAGAATTATTTTCTCTATTTCAAGAAATGTCTTTCAGAGCATTAACACAGTAAATACTTTGGTCTCCTACACTTCCTTTTCATTCTCTTATAGCAAATTGTGACGCCATTTTTCAGATTAAGAAAGGATAATTTTTCCATTAAGAAAAGACAGGATTAGGCTCTATTATCAACATTTTTAATTTATAAAATATAGTTTTCCATTTAAATCTGAGACAATAAGAAACCTTATTAAAAGACTGCATCTTTTTTGACTGTTCCAACTATTTAAGGCCCCTCTCTCTTCACTCACTCTTAAGGGTGTGCGCAGGTCAGACCAGGTCTCCAGGAAATGTCTGTGTCCCTCTTAAGGAATGAAGGGAGACCTTTTACAAGATTTTTGCGAGGCTGGGTACTCTGATTAACACTGCCAGTTAACTGAGTGACAGCTGAATGGCCAACTTATATCCTCTGGAGTCAGGTCTCAGGGTTTTCTATAACCTTGGGCAACTAACTCTTGAGCTTCTATGGTCTCAGCTAAGATGTGGGTGTCACTATGGTAACTATGTCAGCTGTGAGAATTATTCTGTGGATTCAATGAGGTAATGCAGGTAAGCCACTGAGAACAATGTCTGGCACACAATAGGTTAGTACATGTTCTTATTATTGTTTATTCATTCCCTCAATAAACACTGATGAGCATCTATATTGTGCAAAATGTTGAAGTTACAAAGATAAAATACTTTCCAATTGTTAGGAATATCTCAGATGAGTAGGGCAGACAGGCAAAAGCACCACAGTTTAAACAAAATATGGAAAAGACCTATGAAGGAAACCTTAACCAGGCTGGGAGCCAGGTGGGTTTACCCATCAATTGATCACGGTCCTTTGCTCATAATAAATTTGAAATCTTGAGGTGAAGAAGTGGAAAGAACCTAGTTTTAGCTGAGGCAGTAAAGCAAGTTAATTCTATGACTCAAAGCACGTAACTCAGTTTTTCTGGTCTCAACAGCTTTCTAATTTATCCCATTACAGTGCTGAACCAGCCGCATGCTCAAGTTCCCTGGTTCTGGCTCAAGACGATCTTACTTTGTGCATGTCTTTCTAGCTCACATTTCAGTAACCTCATCTTGGTAGCCTAAAATCAGCTATGGTAGGAATATTTATAACACAGAAGTTGGCAACCACAAATTAGAGAGTTTTTTTTCCTTCCCTAGGGGGAAGGTTGGTTAATAAATATTTACCAGTGATTCTTGGGTTGAACTAATGAACTCCAAAGAATATTCCAACTCTAATAATTTTTATCTTTTAGATTGTTTTTCACAGTTACATTTTACCCTAATGCCACTGAATTGACATTACTTTTACTTCCTCACGTATGACAGATCTAGCTGTACAAGCAACTTTATTATTGATACTGGTAGTGACCCCCACAATACTTTCACTTTTTGTATATTTTTGTCTTGATATTTATTCCTTCAAAGTGCCTGAATCAAGCTTCCAACATAGAATACCTTTTTGTTGCTTCTTTTTT